GGCTGCCCCTGCCTCTTGCAAAAGGCAGGAAATTGTGGCCCAAAGATAGGACCATGCTCACTCGGAGGTTCCCAGGGAGACCAGTGTAAGGAGAGGCTGCCCTGCCCCCTGATTTAGTGGTGTGGCTTTTGTTTTCCAAGCCTCCCTCAGTGTCACCCCACCCTCCACCTCCTGATGCAGTTAGCATTCTACTAACCGTTTCTGTCTGCTTTGCATTTCTCACACGGAATGCTGCATGTTTGTTTGATGTTCCTATTTGTTTCCTGCCACTCCCTCACCTGGACCTTTCTCATTGGTTGCTGCTCTTCCAGCACCTACAGTAGCCCCTGCCCTGCAGAGGACTCAGAGTAAACTGGTGGCCACTGTGGCACCAGCAGTCTCAGCTGAAGAGCTCTGCCTGACCCGAGATCACATATGCCCCTCCTGGGTTGGCCCACATCCTTGGGCTAATGCAGGCCTGGTACCTGGCAGTCCCTGCAGATGCCCACCCCACATGCCCCTGGGTCTCCTCAGGACTCACCTGCAGCCAGGGGTGAGCACTGCTGAGAACCCAGGCAGCTCCCCATCTCTGATGGCTCCTCTTCCTGAGGGCTTTCTCCGGCCCCACGGTAGCTTGCTCAGCCCCGGAGCAGGGCAGCCACACATGTGAAGGATTTAAGAGCCCGAGAACACTCCCCAGCCATCAAGAGTCAATAGATGACCACTGTGTCCCCTTCCCTCAGGAGGGCTGTGCTCTACAGGGGGAATTCAGTCTGACTCACCCACCACACTGACCCACCCAGGAATCCACCCTATATTGGCTTTTCTCTCTGCTCATGTCCCAGCCTCCCCCATTTGTGCTTCCCAAATAACAATGACCTGTATCCCTGTCCTTGTCCTAGTGTCTGCTTTTGGGGAAATCCAAACTAGGCCAGGCTCCTGCCAGACCTCCCCATGTCTATTCTTTCTGCTTGGAGCCTCTGAAAGATGACCCAGCAGGGACATTGGCTTTCTTTCTGCTTCTTTCGGGGCACAGGGACTTCATCTGTATGACTTACTCTTTCATTCAACAGCTAGTCATTGAGGGCTAGTGTTTGAGACTCGGAGATACAGCAGCAAACAAGAGTAAGGAAAAACAATTCTGTGTCCTCTTGGAGTGGACCTTCCTTCCCCCACACCCCATTCCCCTCCCTCCCCTGGCACCTCACTTCTATCTAGTGCAGGTGAGTCTCAGCTTAAAAACTTCATCCTCACAGTGCTCCTACAGGCCCTGCCCCTTCCCCACCCTGCTCCCCCCCCCAACCTTTCTCACCTGTTACCAGATTTTGTTTTGCACCTGTGACCAGCTTTGGCTCCTCTACCTCTACCTGCTCACTTCAAAAGCACGAGGCTCAGCTTCATTCCCTCTACCCTTAGCTGCTGGGCATGACTGCACCTGGCTGGGGCTCTGAAAACACTTCCCAGGTGTATCAATGCCTAAATGAAGGACTGAGTAGCTGAGCGCACCACTGTCATGGGCACAAGTTAAGAGATAAAATGTCCCTCACAGAGGGACAAGGAGAAAAGTTTTACAGTGACCCGTACCTTATACTACTGTGGCCAAGACAACCACATACTTTGGAATCCTGAGACCATCTGGTAGTCTCAAAAATGTCCCTGGGTGCTAGAGAGAGTGGCACAGGGGAGAAACAGTGAGATGCAGAAAATGCAGGCGTACAGTTTGGATCTTGAATGTCCCCAGGGGTCCGTGTGTTACAAGCTCGGTCTCCAGGATGGTGCTGCGGGGAGGTGGTAGAACCTCTAAGAGGTGGGTCTGGTGAGAGGTCCTTAGGCCATTGGAGGCATGTGCCCAAAGGGGACTGTGGGATGCTGGTCCCTTCCTATTTCTCTCTATTGCTTCTTGGGCATGAGGTGAGCAGCTCTGCTCTGCCAGCTTACTCCTGCCATGGTGAGCTGCCATAGGCCAAAAGCGACAGGGCCAACTGATCACGTACTGGAATTTCAAAACAGTGAGCCCCCCCCCCAAAAAAAAAACACCTTTTCTCTTTATAAGTTGATTAACTCAGGTATTTTGTTACAGTGATAGAAAGATGACTAGACCCAGCATTTCAACAAAACCAGCATTTCCTCTCCTTTACTATCTCTCTCCCAGCCACAGGATGTCAGAGATGGAAGGGACTTCAGACACCATCTCTACTCTTACTAGCACAGGTGAGCAAACCGAGACTCAAAGCGGTCCCTTGGCCTAGCCAAGGTTCTATGATTAATGACAAACCTCCAAACTCTGAGCTTATTGCTCATTGCTTATTAATCTGGTCACTTGCTAGACTTGCAGTGGACCAAATAGATGTGTTCAAGTCCTGGTCTGAATGCTGTGGTTATTGGAGGTGGGTCCTTGGCGAGGTCATGAGGGTGAATCACTGCAGATGAAATCAGTGCCCTTGTAAGAATAGGTCCTGGAGAGCTGGCTAGCGCTCTTTACACTCGAGGCTACAGGAAAAGGCACTGTCCACCTCCTGAAAGTGGGCCCTCATCAAAATCTGATCATGCTGGCACCCTGACCTTGAACTTCCCAGCCTTCAGAACCATGAGGAATTAACGTTTGGTTCTTTGTTATAGCAGCCCACGCTAAGACCAGGCTAAGGACCCAGCTTCCCATGCCCTTCCCCAACTATACACAGCTGCACAGTCTTCAGACCGTGGATCAGCCATCAGTGATGTGTAGGGTGCTTCCATTCTTCCCTTGTATCTCAACATCTCCTCCTGCCTTTCTCCACCAAAAGTCTGCTCTTGACTCCTGCCCTCTACGACTCTTGCTCTGGATTCCAACAACCCCTCTGAGCTGAACTCTCACCCTATTCCTACTTGATCAGTACTCCTCACGGAAGCTCAGTGCACCCAGGATCCTCGGTGCATCCTGGATGTGACTTGAAAAGCAAAGGCAAGTCTCCCTGATTGACACTCTACTAGGCTTTGCCGTTCATCTTGTTTGGGGGCCAGGGATAAGCCTCATCCCAGGAGAAATGACAGATTATCAATGCTGACTGGGATGTGTCCGAACTAAAGTCTTTTTATACCTGCTCTTCAGTGTATTGTGTTGAGAAAATAAAGCAAACACGCAGAACAATGATAGTTCATGTTCACTGAAGCCTTTATTATGATCCAGGGCCTCCGTTAAACATTGTATTACATTTCATTTATTTGTTTGCTTATTTGCTGTGGAGCTGGGGATTAACCTAGGGTCTCCCACATACTCATATGTGCTCTACTACTGAGCTACGTCTCCTGACATTTTATTTTATTTTGAGACTTAGTTGCCCAGGCTGGCCTCAAACCTGTGATCCTCCTGCCTCAGCCTCCATAATAGCTGAGATTAGAGGCATGCACCACCACACCAGGCTTATAATGGTTTTTAATACAACAATCCTATAAATAGCAACTTTTATTGTGAGCCCCATTTACTTTGATGAGGAAGCTGAGGCTATATAAGGTCAAGTGATTTGGCAAGTTGACCCACCTTAGTAAGTGAAATCAAGCCCCTTCCCCTTTATAACCCTACTCTGCTTCCCACCTTCCCTTCCTTCTTGTCTCTGTTTCCCTCTCCTCTCCTCTCCTCTCCTCTCCTTTCCTCTCCTCTCCTCTCTTCTTCATATCATACCAGACATCATTCCATCCTTATATAGAGAAATGGATGTTGTGATGTGTTTGTTAACCTCCAAGAGCATGTACCATTTCAAAGTGATCCAGAAAAAGCCATACTAAACCAAAGAAGTGGTTGTTTCTCTACCGTAGAGCATCTTAATCGGTCATAAGGTTATTTGTTACTCACAGTGAAAAGCATTAAAACTGTAAGCTAGCTACAAAGCAGCATCACCGTCACTTGAACTTGATATGCGTTCCTGAGCAGAAGAGAGAGGGTGGCATGGCAGCAACTCCAAGCCCCATTTCACTGTGGTACAATGCAAGAGAGTCACAACGACTGATGTATAAATAGCTGTGGCACTCAGGGATTCTATAGCATTTACTTTCTCCCAATTTTTTTTTTTGGACTTTATCAAAATCTGAGTGTCCCCACGAGGGTATAGTCCCCAGCATGGGAACATCATCCCTTGTGAATGCAGCAGCTGGAAGGGAGGCTGTAACAAAACCACGGGGACAGAGGGCACTTGCCAAATTCACAGAATGCCCCCACAGTGCAAGGCTCTCCCTGTCTTTATCGAAGAGAATTCTTCTGTCTCATGCAGGAAATAGACCAGCAATGGGAATAACCGGTATCAATAACCAGTCCTCAGGTGGTTGCTGCAAAAACTATGCATTCATTCATTTCTGGAACTGATATTTATTAGCCCTTACAAAATCTGAGGGTTACAATGTTGATTCAAGCAATCCATTCCCTGCCTTCATACAGGGTATGGTATCAAAGATGGTGATGTTCTCCACAACCAGGTTCTGTTAGCAAGAGAGTGCCAGACAGCAGCCCAGGTCTCCATGGCGTTCATTTGTCCATTCAGGAAACATTCAGTAAGTCGGACTGTGTGCTGGGTCACAGGAGAAATCAGACAGGAGCGCCAAGTCAGGAGTGGGAGACAGAATACAAACGTGACGTGCAGAGTTCTACAGAACTGAGTCATGATGTGTGTGCACGCAACACCCATGCATGTGTTATACAGCAAGAGAGAGGGAGAAAGGAGCACATTCAGAGGACAGACAGTCACCCACCATTCTTCCAGTAAGTCACGCCCAGCATGGACATGAGGTGGGACAGGTGAAACTAGTGCTCCTTTGGCTCGCTTCAGTTCCCAGTGACTCTCTTGTCAGGATCACTGCCCACCTCCCTGACATCCACTGATTATTAAAAACACAGGTTTTTCTTTTTTACACAAGGTCCTAACTCAAGCCAGCTCCTTCATGTGGCAAGCAGTCAGTGTTCAGTCATCTCTGACTAGGGGGGACTTCTTATGGGTGGGGGGTACTTTATAGGTAAGGTCGCTGGACAGTTGAGAATAATGAAGTGACAGTTACACCTGACAGAGTGAGAAGCACAAACTGAGACCACCCTGGGCAAGCCAGACACGGCATCCTACTTATGGGTGACTTGAGGGATTTTTACTTATTTATTCTTTAACCTAAAAAGAGCTTTTTTTTTTTTTTAAGCAAATAGCACATTATTTTCTGTAGATATTAAATGTAAGGCTGTTCTCTTGTTTTTTATTTTGTTTATTTTTAAATAGACTAAAAATTCTCATGATTATTCAAAATGAGTACAATGATAAGTCCCCTCCCAGTCCTTTCTCAGTCAAACGGTCGCCCCCAAAGACAACTAATAGTACTAAATTCCTGGGGGTCCTCCCAGAGATGTATTATGCACACACAAGAACATGTATCTGTTCAAATAAATAAAAGCACAGTGTTCACACTGATCTTCACTTACTTTTTTCTCTTAATGATATATGCCAGAGAAAATTTAATTGCTATAACAAGCTTCCTGCTAATGTGTAGTACGTACTATTTCACTACGGACGTACATAACTTATTTAACCAGTTCCCACTGAGGATCATATAGATTGTTTCCCATGTTTTGCTGCAATGAAGAACCTTGATCACACATTTTGCATTTGTATGGGTGTATATATATATATTGCATATGTATATGTGTGTGTGTATATATACATCTATATTTCATATATATGAATAAATCAAAGAAAATTAAATTTTCCTCTAGCATAGCTCATTAAAACTTATTTTAAGTAAGATAGTTGCATCGGTATTATAAAACATGGAGACATACTATTATGTCACCCTACTGTAGGTTTGTGTCTTACAAATCTAGGAATTCTGTTAAATTCTAAAATTCATGGTGCCCATCTTAAAAAACAGGTGTATTTATTCAAGTCTAGGCTAAATAATGGAGTATATTCCTGATAGAATATGAAGGGGTTCCAAATTCCCTACTTATAATTTTCCACAACAGATCAAGGGAGGAATGTCATCCAGCCTAGCTTCTGGTTTGTTCACTTTCACCTCACCTTCTCTTCCATGACCAAATCACCTCTGACGCTGGGCCTGGGATGGGTGCTTATGATGCCATGTCTCCTGTCCCTGCACCTGTGTCATAAAGCCACCATGAGCAGTAGGGGTACTCATGGAAAGCACTCCTACAACAGGATTGGCCAATGACTGCACATGACAGAAACTATGCCTCTGAATACCAGCCAAATGCATCCCAGCTTAACTTCCTCTTGGCTGGGTTCCCCAAATTCCCAATATCATCCATAAAGGAAGGTATGAGCCAAGGGAAGTTAAGAGGGCAAAGAACAATCTTAACTATTTGCAAGTGCTTACTTTTACAGAAAAAAAGGGAGGTTTACAAAAGCAGATGATCAGGGTCCTCCCAGGACCATGGGAGAAGTGTCCAGAGGTAAGTGAGGGGCTGGCGGCTTAAGGGGTCCATTACGCTCATGGTAAATGACTCTCTGGCCAGCAGGGTTCTGGCTAGAGTCCCTCTGGTTGTGCATGCCTGGTTTGGAAAGTGGAAGGGAGGCAGAAGCTCTCCTCTGGCCATGGCGGAGGCTGGTTTTAGCAGATGTGAGCTTCTGCAGTAGCCGTTGGGCTCTATATTCCCTAGTTCATTACCCACTCTGGAGCTGTGGGCTCTAGATTAGCTATGCAGGTCCAGCAGCAGCCTTCTCCTGTCTTTTATTTGTTTGTATCATTGGAATTTCAATTTAATTTGAAACATGCAGGAAAGAAGAGAAATCAACACAAAGAACACCCACATACCACCCACCTGGTTTTAACGGTTGTTAATATTTTGCCGTTTTTGCCTTATAACTGAATGATTTCACGGTAATTTAAAACATCACGACACTGCCTCTGTTCAACCTGTACCTCCAAAATAGTAGGGAGATTTCTCCAATTAACACTACACCTAACAAAAATAGCAAAAATCCCTAATATCGTATAAAATTCACTTCACACTCAAAATTTATATAATTGTCCTAAAAATATAGCTGTTTCTTTGAAGCCAGAATCCAATTGGGTTCATGGCAGGAATTTGCTTATTATGTCTCCTAAGTCTGGTCTGATCTAGGACAATCCCCCTTGTCGTTTTCTTTTCCATGACATTCACTCTTAGAAGAGATGAGGCCAGCTGTCCTGTGGAAGTCCCACATTCTAAATATGTCTGTTTCCCCATGCTGTCACTTAAGGGTCCCTAGTATTTTCTGAAAACTGAGGTAGATCTAAAGCCTCGTTTGTTTGTTTTTTTTAAAGCCAGATTTATTGAGGCATGATTTATACACAGTAAATGTCATCCTTTTTTAGTTTGTAACTGTGTTTTGATCAATGCCTATAGTCACGTAATCTGAAAGCTTGGCTTGACTAGTATTTAACACAATTGAGCAAAATGCTTTACAGCGATGCTGTGAACTTCCTGTCAGGCTTCATATCACACCAGCAGACACGTAACGCCTAGTCGTCTCACTAGTAGCGATATTAATTTTGAGACCAGGTTTCTATAGCTTTCTGAACTCTGAATGCGTATTCACTTTCTATCACCGTACAACAAATCCCTACCTACTT